TCTGACAGATGGGAGTCCAATCTCTTCTTGAAAGTCTCAAGTGATGGCGCTCCCACAACTTCCGAGGGCAATTTCTGTTCCATGGGTTAACTGTTCTTCCTGTCAGAAAGTTTCTCCTTATTTCCAGGTTGAATCTCTCCTTGTTCAGTTTCCATCCATTATTCCTTGTCTGGCCTTCGGGTGCTTTAGAAAATAGCTTGACCCCTTCCTCCTCTCTGTGGCAGCCCCTCGAGTATTGGAACACTGCTCTCCTGTCTCCCCTGGTCCTTCTCTTCACTAGACTAGCCAGGCCCAGTTCCTGCAATGGTTTAAAAAAAAAAAAAGGTCCTATGTGCCTTTTTTCACATAGATCCTACGGTCCTATGTGAAAAACAGTCTATGTGCTGTTGTGGATTCCAATGGTCGCTAAGCGAACTGTTGTATGTTGAGGATTACCTGTGCAAATATGGAAAGGGGAAAGGGAAAAAAATAATGGCTGCACCTTGTGCTGAAGTGCATTCAGATCCTGAACAAAATCCGTGTTCTCCTCTTCCAGTTCATCGGCATGTTGCCTCACCCTGTAGAGAGACCTCTGGTACTCGCGCACTTGGTTCTGCGAGGAAAGAAACAAATGCAAGGTAAACCTAGAACCTCTGGATCTTTGTAGAACGATTGGAAGAGGAACAATTAACTGGGAAAAACCTTCACATACGGTCATGGCTTGCATGGAGCCGTTGATGCTGTGCAGGCGGGCCCAGGCAATTGAGGTGGTGTTGAGACTTGTCAACTGATGTTCCAGGGCGGGGAAGTCACTTTCAATCCTCTGGAGATCTTCTAACAAGAGCAGCACACAGCTGTCACAAGCTGTTAATGAGAGAGGAAAGGAAAGGAAGCTGTAGGACGTGTCGATGGAGAGCCTCAACCATCCAGGTCATGGTTATCCCAAAGGTGCCATTCCAAAAGACAACTGGACTCTTTTGATATTTTTTTCCGCCCGTGAAATCCTTTTGATTCTTATCCAGGAAGCTTC